CGGCCCCGTGCAGCCCTCCCGGCCAGCCCCCCGCTCACCATGGCCATGCTGGAGAGCTGGACGGCGGGGCGACCCGGGGGGATCAGCGAGATGTTGAGGAAGGCAGAGACGGAGACAGAGGTGCCCGAGGGTTTGATGGTGCAGCGCGGGGGAGCCGACACTTGCAGCACCAGCCGCAGGGGAGCATCCACAGTGGGGCTCTGGGGAAAGCAGGTGAGCTGGGGGTGCAGAGCTGGGCAGGGCTGGGCTCTGCCCCGGGGGCTCTGGTGTGCCTCCCACCCAGCCGGGTGCTCTTCTCACCAGCATGAAGATGGTCCCAAAGAAGGTGGCTCTCAGCAAAACCTCCAGGTCCTTGGGCACCTGCAGGGAAGGCAAACCACCAGAGGGTAAGCGAGCAGTTGCTGTTGAGCCCAGCAGAGCTGCTCCCTGGGTGGCACCTCCTCTGCTCTGCGGGCAGAGCCCAGCCCTCCCTCCTGCCTGCAGAGAGCTGCCCGTGCACAGCCGGGTGAGCGGGCACTGCTTACCTTCTCCCCCTGGAGCTCTATGGCCAGCACACCCGCCTGGAAGTATGCGTGCATGGCTGAGTCAAAGAAGTACTCGGAGAAGGCGACGTAGACCATACGCTCGGTCTCCTTGATCACCGGCTCCACCGCGTGGTTCTCCAGCTCCTGGTTCTCTCTTGCACGGGGGAAGAACATGCCCTGGGCCGAGAACAGGAGACGTTTCTGCAGCTGTAGCGCAGCCCACCCTGTTCGCTCCACGGTGCCCAGCATGCAGGCTGGCACAGCCGCTCCCACGGGGACTGAGAGGGCCGGCAGGATGGGACCCAGTGTTCACCTTGAAGTCCAGGTCGAGGGTGTCCGTGGAGACGGCCGGATCCCGCAGGAGGGAGTAGTCAATCCCGATGTGCTCATCCACATAGTTCTTCACTGCCAGGGAAGATGTGCTGTTGTGACCAAGCCTGCGGGCTGCCTGGCAGCCCGATGCCCAGCTCTGCCCTCCCCATGGTGAGTGGGGTCTGCTCTCTTCCCCCGGGGCAACGCTTACCTGGCACCGTGTCCAGCACGGAGTTCAGCAGCACCAGGCTGGCGTGCTCCAGGGACGGGCAGATCTGAAAGGCAAGGGGCTGGGCTCAGAGGGGAATTGCTCCAGGTGCAGATGAGGACCCAGACCCCCTCCTGCTGCGGGGTAGGGCAAGGCCAGGCTCCCCTGGGCTCCATCGCCTGCCTCCGCTCAGCTGTACCTGCTGGCTGAGGAGGAAGCGCATCCCTGTGACGATGAAGGTGCTCAGGAACTCGTAGACCGTCCTGCAGGACACAACAGCAGCTTTGTGGCTGCCCGCCTTCCCCTGCAGCTCCAGCCCTGCCCCTCCATCCCCGTGCAAGCGCACGGCCTGGGATAGGGAAGTTCTGAGGGTGCAGAAAGGGGGGCTGGGGAGCCAGGCACAGGCGGAGCTGGCACAGCAGAGGCACAGGGCTGCTGCAGTGGGGATGGGTGTACCTGAGTGTGCCCGAGAAGCCTGCCTGCATTCTGGTGATGGAGGCGTTGCAGGTGATGTTAGAGATCTTCAGGCGCCCAGCCTTGTCTTTGGCCAGCTGCAGCACTGTGTGGATGTGGACGCCATCCGCAGAGGCATTGATGGACCCCACGTCATAGCTGGAAGCGAGGACAGCAGATGAGAGGAGCGCACAGCTCCTACAGCTGCAGGGCAGCAAGGCACCCACGGCACCCAGCGGGCACGACTGAGCAGCGGCTGCGGCTCAGCCGTGGGGTAGGGGCAGCGGGAGGTAGCTCACAAGAACCAGTAGAGCAGCTGTCTCCGGAAGCGCAGGCTGATGGAGGCATTGTTGACGTTGAAGACGAGGTGCTGCTGAGGCTGGAAGTGCAGGTCAGAAAATGCCAGCTGCAGGTCCGTCACCTTAACCCTGCAGGGGAGCAGACAGAGATGGTCAGACGGACAGATGGACACGGGGAGCCATGCGTGCAGGGAGCGGGCAGCACTCACTGGCTGATGTTGTAGTGGAACTGCCCCTCCTTCCCGTGCAGGTCTGACACCGTGATGTTCTGCAGCTCCTGCTCCACGAAGCGCAGCCCCTCCTGCTTCACTGCAAAGCAAAGCGAGCCTGGGCTGGCCCCAGCTGGGCTGTGCGGCCCTCCTGGCAGCCTCGGCCCCCCGCCAGTCCCCCGGATCCCTC